ACGGTCATGATACGGGGTGCGGATGGCAGATCCCAGGCCATGGGATTAGGATACATTTAAAGAAGGAAATATATTATCATTGCAACATTTACTCTGTGGTGTTGTGATACTTTGTGAATCGTATCTACGGCGCCCGACAAGCGCATCTAGAATTTCTAACATATATAACAGATTAAGTCAACCAAGAGCTACCGATGAGCTTCAATATGCACTGGTTACTTCAATTGCAGCGAGGTGGCCAATCCGAAAATAAAACGTTGATACAGACGACAGCGCCAAGGTACCGATTAAAATACGTGTTACTGGAATTGACGGTAAAACCTATTTTAGCTTTCTCTGGATTGCTGGATGCACGCTGCCGGAATGCAAAAGGCGACTAAGAAGATACACCAGCCGACGATGCTCGACTGGAAAAATGAAGAAGGATTTCGAATTTCTCAGAGGGAGCTAAAGACATGCGTCAAATCACACGAAATATCAACCTAAGTGGTAGAGATGTGGAAGTATCTCAGACTTTATCGTAGATAAGAGCGACTGTTAAGCAGACATGAGAAATATTGTATCGATAGTTGGCGCCGCTGCGTAATGGACATGTGAGAAGTTTATTAGAGTAAAACAGTTTTTTGAACGCTGAACTCACTTTGGTGTCGCAAGTTGGACGCATCGTACTCGGCTAAGCAAATTCATTTGAGGATCAATCTAATTTGTAAAGGCAACGAAGTTGCTGATGCACAACCAGGCTTTTATTTGATGGCTAGAGTCAGAGTAAATCTCTGCGAGCGCAAGGAAGCGAAAAAAGGGACAAGATCATTTACAACTAAGACAGAAAGAAAGACATCATGCCCGAGTACGTGAACTCCGCAAACAAGATAGCAGATCTGCTTACCAAGATACTGCCGGTACTAAGGCCGACACGATGAAAAAAAGGCAATATCGCCACGACAAAGTTTGACACCACTCGTTATAGAGGCCAATAGCGCCCGAACGAGAACCCCCGGGACATACGAGAAGAATCAGAGGGGGGGGCTAATGTCGACAGATAAAGATCAACTGGACAAGGGTCACCGAGACAATTGTCCACTTGACGAAAGTCAACCGATCAAAGATCGACAGGACAGCGACTAAAAGTAACAACAGCGTAATGTGACCGCACACGATAATAGTGTATGCACTCTGTCATACCAACATCACCTTCTTGCATGATTAATGTCTGCTCATATGTTCGCACATTCTAAACGGGGTATCATGTGCAAGCTAGGTCTGCAGCATCATGTGATGACGAATTGATCATCAACATTTATGCAATGACAAGTAAGCTCTTAATATTGGCGATTTGCGGAAAGCTCACAGCATTATTACCTCAGTCAGTAATGAGGACTGTGTTCTGATAGTACAGGCTACGTTTCACTCTTTTGAAGCAGGATTAGCAGTCAATT